ACCCAAACCCAAACCCAAACCCAAACCCAAACCCAAACCCAAACCCAAAGCCAAACCCAAACCCAAACCCAAACCCAAACCCAAACCCAAACCCAAACCCAAACCCAAACCCAAACCCAAACCCAAACCCAAACCCAAACCCAAACCCAAACCCAAACCCAAACCCAAACCCAAACCCAAACCCAAACCCAACCAAAACCAAACCCAAACCCAAACCCAAACCCAAACCCAAACCCAAACCCAAACCCAAACCCAAACCCAAACCCAAACCCAAACCCAAACCCAAACCCAAACCCAAACCCAAACCCAAACCCAAACCCAAACCCAAACCCAAACCCAAACCCAAACCCAAACCCAAACCCAAACCCAAACCCAAGTCCATAATTCAAAAGTTAGTACTGACCTGACCTTTAAATATCTATCAATATAAGAAATGAAACCATCAAATTTACATCATTAATAGATGATAAGAAATATAATCAATGATATGAATCTTCACTAAGTAATCTCTTAAATAACCCAAATAAATCAACTCTGAATCCTAACCAAACCCACAAGTATGAAAAGGATAAAATCTTGAAAAAGAACCACTATTGAAACTTTACCAACATGATGTAGATGATCTATAATGATGTAGAATTCAATTTCATATCATAAGAATCAGAAATGGTACCGTAGGAAGATAATGGTTGACTTTATAAGGATGACATTAAGGAAAGACAAGTCAGACCAACTCTATCAAATACATCACTTCAATCAGCAAAATATATATGAAAATGCTCCATTCGATGTGTAGAGATAGAATATCAAGTTTATTTTAACTTTCATATTCAAGATTTCATCCCTTTCATACCAACTAGTCAACTGAGTAAAACGAATGAAAATCTGGAAAATGACCACTCTATGAAACATTACCATCATGTTCAACATCTCAAATAATGTATATAATTCAGTTTTAAGACGTTTTGGTGAACATTCCATCTTTCAGTAAGGTACAGAGTGATTTATCAAGGTTGACTTGGGAAGATCAGGAGGAAATCTTGAATATAGAAAACCACATCCTCAATCTACAAAATACATATCAATCGATTGGAAATCATTAGTACATCTCGAAAATATAATTTATTTTATGTGTTGAAATCTCTCCTTGACCTCTTTTAGTCAATTAAGACAATTAAGGATGATACTATAGGAAAAGTTACCAATCTCATAATAAATGATAATATCGTGTTCTACATCTCAAATAAAGTGGACTTTCTTCAAATTATATGTTTTCATTTCAAGAAATGCATCCAGTAGATAGTACATGCTGATTTGTCAGGAGAATGGAAATCTGAAGGGTCCAGAAACAACTCCAATTTCACTGAAATTGATATCATGGTATGTAGACACTCTAATTAGTATGTGGTATCAATTTCATGAATATTGGTTCAGTAGATGTCGAGATGTCAACACTATCAATTTACTATAGACATTTGACATAATATCATAGATTATACTCCAACTCACTCATTTTACATATAATAAGTCTAGAATTGATACCACATAGTCTATATATCAATTAATATACATCTACAATAGTTAAGAAACATTTCAAACTATTTTCATAAAATTAATCAGTAAATGTTCAATATCAACATTATATATATCCTAGTGAACACTCCATCTCAGTGAAAGTTATTCCAATCATTCTGTAACTTTACCCAATACGTCTAATCACATTATTATACATCTGGTATCAATTGCATACTGTTAGAATTGAATTCAATATGATAATAATAACAATCTTTCAAAATGTCACATTTCAAAAAAAAGATTACACTCCATCTCAGTCAGTTTACAAAATATCATACTAGAATCAAATATGAATACACTCCTCTTGATGAGGAGTACAATCTGAGAAAGTTTCAAATTGATGGCTCAGTATCTTCAAGTCAACTAAGTAACCTAAGAATAGACAAGTCAATTAAGTACATCAAGTCAACAATTGAAAATTGAAATATAGTATATTTATTACAAATTAATAGGACTATTCTAAATAACCATATTGTTTAAATCAATGTTTGTAAAGTTGTCAATACATCATGTCACAGATCATACTCTTTCTCAATGAATACTTGACTAAATCAATTGAAATTGACATCTAGTTGTTTATATGTAGTATTGTATATGTGGTATCAATATCTTTTAAAATTGTCAAGTATTAAGGAAGATCTAAAAAAATAAGGTGGTAATAATGAATAAGTTAGTAAAATCACCTTGAATCGATCACTCGTCACTTAATTGACACTCCAACATACAACCACTGAACCAACAGTGCTAACGCTTTAATTTCTAGAAATGATTCGTATGAATAACCAAGGGGTTGTATGACTATTAAGGGAAAATTGTCGGTTTCTATTAAGAACAACAATTAACAACAAATAACAACAAGAATTGTATCATTATATGATAATAACAATAATTTATTAAACGATATGGAAGGGAGAAGTTGCTCCCTCACCAAATGATGAGGGGAAGATTCAACTTGATGATCAAGAGATGGTACCTCCACCAATCTACTTAAATTATAGTATCATTGAAGATTATCCTGATGATCTTGTTGATAAATAGATTCATACATCGGAATAGTTTTGGAAGCAGAGTTATTTAGCGTTGTATTTTGATAATCGTAATATTGTAAAGGGTTAAAAATGGAGTTGATTAATGCGATTATCAAAATAATGGCTTCAAATCCATGGCTATTAGCATTGCCAACAAGCAAATAACTTGTGGAGTGAGAAACATTACCACTTCCACCTTCTAAATAATATTAATAAATATTATTTACTTGTTCCTTAATGATCTTAATGATATCGGAATAAGTGCGCACCGCAATTAAAGGTAGTTTCACACTTGTTCAACACAGCTATTAAGCAATAGAAAATTAACAAGTTTAACACCAATTCAAATACAAAATGCTCAACAATTACTGAATTAAATGCAAATATCCCAAAGTCATTTTGTAGAGAATTAAGTTGAACCTATGCGATTTTTCACCATTTGCCAAATGGTTGCGTATCTAGCAAGCCCCCCCAAGAGAACAAAAAACACAGAAATATCGAGGTAAAACGAGTTGATTATCTCCATTATTTGATAGCAACCAATATTAAAATTATATATCAGCATGTAGCTGTGAACATTTCCTATCTAATGATATATATCGATGTATATGAAGTCTTATAAATAATGATGTTTTAAGAGCGCAGATTAATATCTTTTGATAGAAACTTTAGAGTTTTGTGAATATGATCCATTTTGAATGAGCAACCTGCACAATGACATCAAATTGTGACAGAAATGGAAACTCCACACTCTGATCTTCCTGAATCATCAATCCTGACTCATCACTCTGTTTAATCAAATCGAATAGATACGAATTACATGTTGTGAATAATTCCATTTGATTTTTCACAGTTATTGATCTTTTCCTTTTTGGATCATAACGGCTGTTGGGCTGGAGCGGTGATTGGGCTAACAGTTCCTAATACCTTCATTGTAATGGATTATAACCTTAATCTCCCAGATCTTCCAAAGCTTCAAATCATCTAGAACATATGAATCCAAACAGTGAACATTGTATCAAATAAAAACATCATTATGATTTTGTGGTGGTGCATTGTCTACAGATATTAAGAAAAATGGATTTTCCATCTGAAAGTACATATCCCCGACATTTCGATTTGTGTTTCAAATCTTCAATATTCATTGCTATTGGTTTATCTTTTAACCTCAATCTTGATTGCACTCTACCAGAAGCATACAAAAGCAAGACTGCTTTAACAGCAATATCCAAACTGAAAAACCCTTGTTTACAAAATGAGTCAACAAGTCACTTGACTTCAAAAACCTTTATTGAGATTTAGTAACTTCAATTGAAATGAATCGTAAAAGCCTATCAACACCTTAAAAGGTTTCAACTGTTAACAGTTGTTTTTATCTTCCTTGTTATTAGGCAAGACTAGCAGCCTCCATGATAACTTGATTATTTGTGAAAGAGAATGCATAAACCATTTGATTTCCAGCAGACACAACAAACCTCGATCCATCTCCTGTGATTTTGGATGAGGCAGTTTTGAGAACCTTTCCATTCTGATCATTAGAAATAACTAAATATTTAGTTGCATCCATCAAAATAACAGATTGCCTATTGGGCTGTGCACTTGCAACAGTGAAGCCAGACAACTTGTTGTTTTGCCATGTTCCATCAATTTCAAGACGCGCAATACTATTGTCTTTTTGAATGTCAAAACTTGTGTGTGTACCAAAGTATCCTCCAGAAAAACCAGTGTAAGCACTCAATGCACTGAAAATATGGACACTTGTTCCATTCTGAATTACAGAGCTAACGATGTTTGATGTCTCAGCCACTAATTTCTTGGCATCACCATAAAGAACTGTGACCATATCCGCCTTTTGAGCGTCAACATTAACTACACCCACAACTGAACTATCTTTTAAATTCATTCCCAAAATTAACCAACCTGGTAGTCCACTAAAACTCATACTATCTACACCAGCACCAGAAAGGTAATCTGGAATTGTGAATCTGGAAATTAATTTCCCTGTTTGAATGTCCAATTTGTGAATGGTTTGATCACCTGTGGCCACATACAAATCTCTAGAGACAAGAAGAATATCAATTGGCTCATTATCACATTCGAAAGACCATAATTGCTTGAAATTTTTGGTTTCATACGCAATAACATGGCTATAAGTATACGTAATGAGAATAGTGCTGTCTTCTGAGAGGAGAATTACCATACCTGCTTGTTCCACTATCTTATAGAGAATATTCTTGGTATTTGTCAAATCTGCCTTAATCAATATTTTAGTACCATCACTTCCAATAAGAGTGAGATATGCATTACTATTTGAATCAATTACCAAGTTGGATTGTACTGGAGACATGGTTGAGGGTGGTGCAGCATATTGTAAAATACTTTGATTTCCATTCAAAAGATCAACTTCAATAAATGTAAGATTGTATCTGTACAAATCAAAAATCAATGCCTTTCCTCTATTGACATCAAATGCAACAGAACCAGAACTGGCAAAAGTGTCTTGAAACTTGGTAATCCATTCCTTGTGTGGTTTATAGAATTGAATACTGTTACTACGATACTTGTCGGAATTTACATGTCCCCACGAAGGCAACAATTGACCATTCGCAACCTCTTCATACATGAATAAAATTGCCAATAATAATGCCAATAACCAAGTGGCTAATGTAACAATTTTGAACATTTTTTTTCTTCTTTGTTACTCCATAGTCCGTGATTCTTTGCGTCACATTGTTTCTAGGAGTTCTTGAAGTATTCTCCGTAGTGGATTGGCTCAGGATGGTATAATTTCACTGATTTTCTGAGCCATCCAATATTGTAATACTGATGGAATGGAAACAGGCAACCGAAAAAATCCAATATTTTCTTGTAGTTTCACAAACCTGATGATGTCTGAAAAACAAATTCTGAATTGTAACGCAAATTCAGTTTTTGATGAACGGAGACACCAAATGTAACCAAATAAGAGCATTGTTATTGTTTCTCTTTCATCCTAGTGGCATCAGCATTATGTGCCAAATTATGGAAATTTTTGGAGAGGAGAATATTTTCTAATAAACTTTCCTAATAAATATAATAAAATAATTCCACTGAGTTTTAATAAAACATTGTGTGAATTGATATTGGTGTAGTTTTGTCTTGTGCATTTTCATTCATTCATTCCATCAACAAATGTTGTTCCAAAATCTTTCAATTGTTTGAAAGAGCCCTTAAGTCTCTTAAAAGCCACAGCACCCAATACTAAAATGACAATAAAATTGATGGCCAGTAGTAACCAAATAATAGCCATAGCTACATTACAAGCAAATGCAGGAGTGCCACCAATCACACCTCCATAAATATGTGGATCAAAGTACACAGCAATCATAATTCCACTAAATCCGTATGTCATAAATCCTGACATTCCAAATAAACAAAAAATAATCACCACACCATAACTGATAAAGAACAAGACAAATCTTGGAACAGTACCCTTTTCCATTGCCTTATAGAGTGGATAATAGGTGAGGAAGAAATGAGCTGGTGGAAGGAAAAAGATCATGATTGTTGCCACCACCAGATATTGCACTTTCATCATTGTTGTAATCTCCAATGGAACACCCTTGATTAGAAGTGGATAGAATACTGTAGTATAGGCAGCTGCTGCGTTCAATATGGAGCATAGACTAAAGATTATCCACGAGACGAATCCCATATAAACTACTTTTCTTCTCATGAACTCTGGTGGAATGGAACTAATATTGTGATACATTATAGGATAGCAGAATGGAAAATTCTTTGGAACAGTGGCAGTAGCAGCACGGGAGTTTACAGAAGGAATAATTGCTTCCACAAAATTGAGTGAAGGTTGAGCAGTGTTATTATTATTGTTCAATAATTGACTTTTAACTTTGGCTTGAAATTCATATTCCCTTCTCTCCAAATCGTATTCCCTTTTCGAAATTTCCTTTGCTTTACGTCTCAAGGTCTCGAAATCTTCTAATGGTTCTTGTTGTGAAGATGAATAGTATGGATTGATGGATGCTTCTGATGATCGGTTAAAGGTGTTACCACCAATATCTTGTGAGTAATCATATGGATCGCTGTTATCGAAGGACATGTTGGTGCTTTTTTTTCTTGTTGTGGCTGCTGAAAGATTCATTTCTGTTTGTGTAATATTCTCACAATTTTTATCCGTAAACGGCCGTGAGATTCGCCTGATACAAATAAGGAACTGTTGTAATAATGTTTTATGAAAAGACATCATGTACAAATTTACTATATTATGTGATGAAAGTAAATTTACAAATATACACAGTATTGAAGGACAATTCAGAGGATAGACATTAATTTAATTTCTGAGAGAAATCTGAATCTTCATGTTTGAAGAAGGTTGATTCATAGGAAGAGCCTCGTTTACAATAGGGTCAACACTTTCATCATTCAATAATTTAAATCTATACTTGGTTGCCATACAGCTCAATATCATACAAGATTCCAAAAGGGAAAATTTCTTTCCGATACATTGACGATTACCCATAGAGAAAGGAACCCAAATGAGGTTTTGAATAGAATCATCCTTGGTGGTTGGATTGACGAAACGATCTGGAATGAATTCGTTTGGTTTCTCCCAAATGTCTTCTCTCTTGTGAAGAGAATTAAAGAGTGTATACACTATAGTTCCTTTTGGAATTGTATGATTACCTAAAGTGGTGTCCTTAGAAGCTACTCTACCATTAACAAGAACAGGAGAATCTTTTCTCAGAGTTTCCATCAGTACACTATTGACATAGCTCAATTGTTCATAATCATCCATGGTAGGATCTCTTCCATTTAACACCTTATTGACTTCTGTACATAGGGTATCTTGAATATCAGGACGTTTGGAAAGTTCATATAAAACCCATTGTAATAATGTTGATGTTGTCTAAAAAATATTAGATGAATATTATAAAAACCTTGAAAACCTACGTCATGACCAGCAAAAGCCATTGCCACACTGTTTGATTTTAATTCAGAATCAGAAATGAGCTTTTCAGACATGTTTGCTTCAACCAAACGAGTCAAAATGTCACTTGTTTCATCGAGTGTCATTTCTCCAGTCTTTAACTTTTCCCTTCTTTCTCCAATAATTTTATCTAAATGATCACTACAGTGATTGATAGCATCAGTAATACCAACAGCCTTTTCAATCATTCTTCCAATAAATCCTGACTTGAAAATTCCCTTAATAATCATCGTTTTCATTGTAAAGGTAGCATGAAGTGCATTCTTGAACTTTTTACCTTCATCATTGCCTGAAAAGACACCAAAATCAAGATTAAAACCAGCCTTTCCCAATACTTGGAATGTAATATCGGATAAATCTTGTTTAGTTAGCAAGCAAGTTCCATTTCCTCCCTCTTGAATCTTGGTATTCCATCTTTCGAATAATTGCTCTACAGATTCAACTGTAACCTTACACATGTATCTGAGATTAGTTGGAGAAAATGCAGGACTACACACTTTAAAGTGTTTCTTCCACTCTTCTGTGTGAAGAACAGTCACAATATTCTCACCAAAAACCTTGGCTATGGTCAAATCAGTCTTATCAAACGAACTAGCCTTGGTAATGAAAATCTCTTTCAATAATTTAGGATCATTGGTGCAGATAACTGAATTGTTAGCAGTTACAATTCTCATCAGATTACAATTATTCTCCTTGAAAAACTTGACAGCATGTTTCTCAGTCTCAAAGAAGGAAGCAATATAAAAGTATGGAGCCAATATTGGAATCTTGAAAGGAGCCTTCTCAAAGAATTGAATCACACCTGGAATGTCCTTCATCTTTGCATAGTTGGAATATAATTTGAACAAACTCTTGAGAAGATAGGTAAGGAACATGACCAAAAATGTTGTACCAACGATCATAGTCAGTGAAATTTCATAAGAAAACTTGTCATTGTGTGGATCAACAACACCTTTGTCCATTTTTTTATCTTTCTTTTTGTTTGGATATGAGTTATTTGCCGCCTTCTTGTTTATTTTGCATCCAACTCCTCCACTAGCGGTCTAAGAATTTCTTCACTACTCCTTGCAGAGGCATTACCAGCCAATCGTAAGTTTTCTTGAACAATTCTCAATTTGGATAATGATTGATCGGAAGAAAAGAATCATCATAAAAAATAGAGAGTAACAAAATATCATCATCCATGCCCAGTATTGATGGTTATGCATCGATGAGTAGTAATAGTGGACAACAATCCAATTGTTCTTCCTCCGTTGGATCTTCTCCATCATCGGGTGTGCCACAACAACAACAACAATATCATCATCAGCAACAACAACCACCATTAATGTGGTCACAACAACCCAATAACAATATCAACAATAATCATCATTTAAATTATAATATAATCCCTAATAATAATAATATTCCTAATATAAATACAATTCCTAATATAATTCCTAACAATAATAATATGTTCTCTAATAATAATAATAATATCCAAACACCCATCATATTACCTCCAATATCTTTGTGTACACCAACAAAAACAACAACACCATCATCATCTGGTGTCACTGCTCAATTCCATCCCATAGCCTGTTCATCCTGTCGAAAGAACCATAAGCAGTGCGGTAAATATCATTTCAACATATATTTAAATTTTAAAATTCAATAATATAATAATTTCAAATAATCAGATAGAACATTACCTAGTTGTGGTCGATGTATAGAAAAAAATCAAGCTTGTGAATATAAAACTCCCCTAAGAAAACGAAATCCTTTAGGAAATAATATTTCAAAAAAGAAGAAATCATCAGCCATTCCGAAGAATGTAGTATCTTACAAGGATTGGATTATTTTTCTGCAGAATTCTGATAATTTAACGAGAGAGAATGTTGTCAAATTCCACAAAGTTTATCATATTATTGAATTTATTGATCCTATAGAGTTTGAGAAATATATTTACATTATGATGATGATTCGACGAATGATAGTAATAATAGTGTGGATGAAGAGTCAAAAATGATGAGG